GTCACTTAGTGTTTGTGTGACTCAGGGTTCTCATTTGTAAAATAAGGATAATAATGCTTAACAGGATCATGGTGTGGATTAAACCAGTTAATGTATGTAATAGCTGTAGAGCACTCTAAACAGTATCTATATTGTTATTGTATTCACAAAATCAAAAATGTTACACACAGTCAGAGCTGTTGGTTGTTTTATTGCTTCTGAGCAAAATCTTCATTCTTCCATCCTCTAGACCAGCACTGTTCAATAGGAGTATAATGGTACCACCTATGTAATGTAACATTTTCTTTTATTTATTTACTTAATTGTCTAAAGTTTATAATATAACATTTTCTAGTAACCACATTAAAAAAGTAAAAAGAAACAGATGAAATTAATTTTGATGATATATTTTATTTAACCCAATAATTCATAAATATTATCAGTTCAACATGCTATCGCTATAAAAATTACTGAGATAGTTTACATTCTTTTTTTTTGTTTTAAGTCTTAACAATGGGTTGTATTTTACACATGAAGTGTATTTCAGTTGCTTAATAGCCACTTGTGGCTAGAAGCTACTGTATTGGACGGTGTGCAGCTTCAGAGGTTTGCTAGTTAACCTTTTTCAATGTCAAAAGTGTCCCAGTTAGCTATTACTGTGAATGAACCAACTCCAAAACTTAGTGGCTTAAAACAACAATGGTTTATTAATTCTCATGCGTCTCACTCAGCCTTGTACACACAAGACTGGTGATTACTGGCTGACCTATTTCTTACCATGATAGTTGTGACATTTTCTAATTCCATGATTCCTTCTACATTTATTAGTTGGAATTCTATGGTAAAAAAGAACTTTGTCTTCTCCCTCATTTAGTCTTTTACTTAATTATATAGCCGCACGAACTCACAGACTCTTGTTTTTTTCAGTAGGTTATAATCCATTATTTATTTGAATGCTCAAATTGTCTTACCGTTATATATCATTATATAGATATAGTCATATATTCATGATTTTATATATTTTTTGCAGATTTTCCATATTACCCCTGCCCCTACACATGTATAGCTCCCACCAGTATCAATATCACTCACCATAATGGTATATGTTTTTTAAAAACAAAAATGAATCTATATTGACTTATCATAACATCATAATCACACAAAATCCATAGTTTACCTTAGGTTTCACTCTTGGTGTTGTACATCCTATGGGTTTGGACAAATGTATAATTACCCATCATTATAATATCATACAAAGTATTTTCACTGCCCTAAAAGTACTCTGTGCTCTGCCTGTTCATCTCTCCCTGCCTCCCCCCTGGCCATCACTGATCTTTTTATTGTCTTTATAGCTTTGCCTTTTCCACAATTTTATAGGGTTGAAATTATATAGTATGTAGCCTTTTCAGATTGGCTTCTTTCACTTAGTAATACGCATTTAAGTTTCCTTCTTTTCTTGTAATGGCTTAATAGATCTTTTCTTTTTAATGTTGCATAATAAGCCATTGTCTAGCTATACCATAGTTTATTTATCTAATCACCTACGGAAGGACAACTTGGTTGCTTCTAAGTTTTGGCAATTATTGCCCTGGTTGGTATGGCTGGGTTGGTTGGAGCATCATCAGGGCACATGTCTGGGTTGTGGATTCAATCCCCAGTCGGGGTGTGTGTGGGAGGCAACCGATCTCTCATATTGATGTTTCTCTCGCTTTCTCTGTCTGTCTCTGAAATCAATTAAAAAATAAGTTTTGGTAATTATCAATAAAGCTTCTATAAACACCTGTATGCAGATTTTTGTGTGCACATACATTTTCAACTCCTTTGAGTGAATTACCAAGGAACATGATTGCTGGAGTATATATATGAGTAAATTTCATTTTGTAAGAAACTACCAAACTGTCTTCCAAAGTGGCTGTACCATTTTGCATTCCCACCAACAATGAATGAGACTTCCTATTGCTCCACATCCTGGTCAGCATTTGGTGTTGTATTTTGGACTTTGTCTCTTTTAATGGGTATACAGTGGTGTCTTGTTTTAACTTGCATTTCCTTGTGATGTGGAGCATCTTATGCTTATTTGCCATCCGTTTATTTTCTGTAGTGAAGTGTCTGTTCAGGTCTTTGACCTATTCTTTTTTAAGTCTAGTTTTATATTTTTAGTATGTCTTTATTGATCTTAGAGGAAGGAAGCAGGATAGAGAGATAGAAACATCCATGAGAGAGAAACATGGATCTCTGCCTCCTGCATGTCCCCTACTGGGGATCCAGCCAGCAACCCGGCATGTGCCCTGACCGGGAACTGAGTGGGTCACTTCTAGCTTCATGGGTTGATGCTCAACCACTGAGCTACACCAGCTGGGCTGATCTATTTTTTAATCAATATATTTTTTTAATTTGCTGAGTTTTGAGAGTACTTTGTATATTTTGGCTAGCAATCCTTTATCAAATGTGTCTTTTGCAAATATTTTCTCCCAGTCAGGCTTTTCTTTTTATTCTCTTGACACTGTTTTTTGTAGAGAAGTTTTTAATTGGAACGAAGTCTAGCTTATCAATTATTTCATACATCAGGTCTTTCCTGTTGTATCTAAAAAGGCATCATCATACCCAAGGCCATGTAGGCCTTTTCCTTATGGTATCTGCTAGGAATTTTATAGTATTGCATTTTACCTTTAAGTCTATGATCCATTTTGAGTTAAATTTTGTAAAGGTTGTAAGGGCTGTGTCTAGATTCATTTTTGTTGCATGTGGATGTCCAGTTGTTTCAGTATCATTTGTCGAAGAGACTATCTTTACTCCATTGTATTACCTTTGCTGCTTGTCAAAGATCAACTGACTATATTTAGGGTGGCCTATTTCTGAGCTTCAGTTTAGTATAGACTATGTCATTTCAAAAAAAAAGGTGTCTATTTCATTACAAATAAGAACTAATGAGTAGAAGTTTCTTCCCTTAAGTCGAAATATTTCCAAAGCATGATTACATTTCAAAGTTAAATCTTGTGCAAATTAAAGCCATCTCATGTCAATATTTGGCTAAACAAAAAAAGGTCCAGCAGAAATGCTAACCCCAGGTGCTAGGATAACAGTGTAACCTGGGACAGTCCTGGAGATGGTTCACCATGTCTAAAAGGCCTCTCATGATCCGTTCCTCACCCGTAGGACCCTCTCCCTGCCTGTCTCACGCAGATCTTTGCTCTGCTAGGCTCATGTTCGACTCCTGCATTTCCTGCTGCTCTGCCTGGAAACACTCGTCTCCTTCCTCACCTGGCTAATTTCTCCTTATCCTAGAGCCCAAGACTGTGGCATCAGTTTCTCTAGGCACTTTCCCTTGATCCTCTGATGTGCTCCCTGCCCTACCTCTCAACCCAAGACTGTGGCATCAGTTTCTCTTGATCCTCTGATGTGCTCCCTGCCCTACCTCTACTGCAGCCCTTGTTTAATTGCTTCCCCTTCTTCACCTTTTCAAAACATTTTTAGTCCAAGGTCCTGTTACTTAAGACTCCTGCTCTTTGCTTCCTAGGGTGGCAGTTATTGGATAAACTGATCTGTGCTAGGTAGGATAATGATTTTGCTGAATTGCTTATCTGCTCCTGAAAGCATATTTGTTTTTCACTGAGGCAGTGGTTTTCAGCGTGGGTGTGCACACATCAGGGAGTGCGTAAGCCTATTTATAAGGGTGTAGGTAGAACATGTGCTTTTATTGCTATAATTTTACTGAGCAAAACTAAGAAATTAAGGTTTTCTAATATTTAATATTTTGTTTGAGAAAGGCATGGATAAACTATAAATCTAAGTTGACATTGGTAATGTGTACTAAATAGCTTATTTTATTATTATTATTAAATATGTTTTTATTGGTTTTTAGAGAGAGGAAGGGAGAGGAATAGAGAGATAGGAACATCAATGAGAGGTACATCATCGATCAGCTGCTCTTGCATGTCCCCTACTGAGGATTGATCCTGCAACCTGGGCACATGCCCTGACTGGGAATTGAGTCAGTGACCTCTTGGTTCCTGGGTTGATGCTCAACTGCTGCACCACACCAGCTGGGCCTAAATAGTTTATTGATTGAATGCTCCATCACAGAAATTTGAAGACCACTATTATAGAGTCACGCAGACATTCCCAGTGCGTAACTCTTCCAGCTTCCTGGCACCATAATGGCTTATATTTATCAAGTGTTACCTATGTGCCAGGCATTGTTCTATATACTTCACAGACATAGACATACTTATTGCTTAAGACCATGTTATGAGATTGGTATGATTGTTAGCATCCTCACTTTATAAATGAAAAAACTGACCCTGGAGACTCAGATAACTTGGTCAGGGACGGGGGTAGTATGTGACTGGTTCAGGGTAGATTCTAGAAGCCACTTGCTTAACCCTTGTTCCGTATGGGCTGCCTGCCCGTCTGTTCCCATGGGCTAGACTAGACAGATATGGCCTTCAGGAGGAGAGGGACTACGTTTGTCTTGTTCGTTGTGGTTCCCTTAATAAATATTTCTTAAGTGAATGAAGGGACTGAGGGTCTGTCACCATCTCTAAATTCATACCACTTAAATGGGGCCAGTTATGAGTCCCAGCTCACCACTGACATGACTAATGCCTTCCTTTTCTTGTTTTATCACGAGGGGATGAGAACATAAGAACTAAACCTCAGATTCCTTCTGTAGATTCTCTGAAGTGTTGCTCAAATGTGTATATTAAAACAGCACCAGGAGCAGCAGCAACCATGCCAACAGAAATGATAATGGAAAAGGGAAGTAAAACTTACTAATTTTTTGGGGAGGTTCACCCAGTAGTAATAGCCTGTTAAGTCTGGCCCAGTTTTCCTTAATTCTTTGGCACAAAGATAAGTAATAATCTCTCAGGTGTTCTGGGCATTAACAACGTTGTGTTGGTTTGACCAAATAAGTTTATGATTCCTTCCACATCAAGAATTTTAGGGGAGTCTTGCGAGTTCTGTGTTATATCATCAGATTCAAATTATGACTCTTTTTCCTCCCCTCATTTTCCTTTTAGGCTCTTTCGAGAGACTTACTCTTCCAGCAGTAAGTATCCATTAACTTTTTTTGTTTCAGAAATGTGCATTTCATCAGTGAACTAAATACATTAATATTTTGTTGGTTTTTGTATCCAGTTAAATTCCTTGTGAAGTTGGCTTGAGTTCAGTTGCACCTTCAGACTATCAGACTATTTAAGAATAATATTCCTTCAGGGAGATTGGTATTAGGCCTTTCAAACTTGTAGCAGAGATTTTCTTCGTGTAAAATAGAGAACTTCACTGAAGGAAATTGGCCTAGACTAATAGCACAGGAACCTGGGCTGGTTTGGTCCTACTCTGCCTTAATGAACCCTACAGTCTCAAATATGTAATTAATGCTCCATCCCTTAGTCTCCTCATCCTGGAACAGGGCAGAGTCATGCTGAACCTATTGGAGTTTGAGGCAAAAGGAAACATCAGTAATACTGATCCTGTCTTAGTTTAAAATTTTATTTTTGTTCATAATTGAATTATTTGTATTATTTTGGATATGTTAGACTATTTAAAATCATGTTATTTATCTTTACTACTGACTTTTTTTGTACCCCCTTAAATTTTATACCTGAGCCAAGTACCTCACTCACCTCACCCTAGACCCGCCCTGGAAAAGGGGATAAGACACTGTCTTTGTTTCATAATGGTGCCGGTACCCTGGAGGTGAAATCAGATGTCACAGTGCTGCAACCTTTGACACAGAAGTGCAAAGGGGATGTTATTTTGTAGAGAGAGTCATAGAATCTGATTAATAAATGTTGTTTGTGAACGAATCCTACTTCCCAGAGTTTTGATAGAGACTATCATCATTATTACTGTGTTTTGTCTTGGAGCTTCACACTAATGTGCAGTAAAGCACAACAGCCAATAGGAGGTACGCTTTGGAATACTTTTCTGAGAATAGATGACTAATGACTTTGACCCTGACACATTACATACTTATGTGGGCTCAGCATTACTTGATGAGCTGGGTTCCCCCATTACCTCCTGAAGGTTACTTGTCAAGCACATTCAGAAACCACATTCATTTCGGAGGGCTCCTTGAGGATTTAGTGCTCCCCAACAGTCTTACAAAAGTTACTTATATTCCATAGCTATAATGTTTCTTAGCTATTTATGCTTGTGTTTTCCTTATGAAGAAATATACTCATTTTCTATTATTAAATAAAGTGGAGGGGAGGAGGAGGATATAGCAGGCAAAAGTCTTGGTGACAATAAAACATTAGACTGTGTTAATGAAACCTAAAACGTTAGATGCTGGCCACCAGAGCCTGTGTATGTCACACTGTTGAAAGGGCATTCCAGTGAGAAGACTGAAATAAATTTTGTGTAATAGAATTGTCCTATAGCAGAAAGGAGTGGGATTTAAGTTCAGGAATCACAGCTTAAAGCACAATAACTCTCTGGTTTCCTCAAAGAAGTCTGCAATGGCATTGACCGGAAGTGCAGAAAGGCTGAGAAGAGAAGGCATTTAGACAGGATAAGGGCACTTGGACTTGTTCCAATAATGCTAGTATAAATTGCACTCATCCGAGCTCTCATTAGCTGGAATTTGGCTACTATTATTCTTTTAAGTTTTGACTATATGAAATACTAAGCCTGACATCCTATATGTGTCTTTAATATAATGCTATTTCTATTGTATGCAGCTATAGCAATATTTATAGAAAGCATTACTAGAAATTATATTTAGGATTTATCCCTTTTTAGTAAACCAATTTTAAAGACTTAGTCATAAAATGTCCGGGAAAATTTGATAATTAGACAAAAATAGAAGGTTCTGCATTTTTATGAGTTTTCAATTAAAATAGACCCAACTTCCTTTTTTAAAAAAAATATATTTTATTAATTTTTTACAGAGAGGAAGGGAGAGGGATAGAGAGTTAGAAACATCGATGGGAGAGAGACATCGATCAGCTGCCTCTTGCACACCTCCTACTGGGGATGTGCCCGCAACCAAAGTACATGCCCTTGGCCGGGATCAAACCTGGGACCTTTCAGTCCGCAGGCCGACGCTCTATCCACTGAGCCAAACCAGTTAGGGCATAAAATAGACCCAACTTTCAAAGTGTACTTGCATTCTGATGTTTGTAAATATATTATTTTAAATTAAGGCCTTCATGAATTTTTTGCTGTAAAATATTCATATATTCCTATTCATATATTCCTATTCATATTTGGATGCATTAAAACAAATGTGTTTTTAACATCTGGTTACTTATTGTTTTTACTTTTTAATACACTCCAGTTAGCCTTTAATAAGGAGTAAATAAAAAGTTAATGTTTAATACAAAGATTATTTTTTGTACAAAATATGCTAGAAAAAATTTCTTTATTATCTTATTCTCTTTGTTAGTAAAGTTAAGTTAAATCACATGAGGGAGTGATTTTTAAAATTAGAAATGTTTTTAAAGTTTATGTTAGGTAAAATTACGAATACATTTTTGATAGAGACTATCATCTTTAAAAAATTTTCTCACTGTATCTGGAAAATTATTTGAAATATCCATTGCCCTTAATAACTGCTATTACTAATGAACTAAAGTAGGAGAAACACTATCTGTCTCATTTCCATAGACAATTGATCTTTCAGAGAAGGTAAGATGGCTTTAGACAGCCCAGATTAGAATAAGAAATCCATTTATTGTCCATCAAAGACCTTTTTGAGTGTGCCTTCCTTTTGTACCCTGGGCAGAGAGCTATCTTTTACTTAGAGGGTATATTTACATATACACAAAACAGACCTCGCATAACTGAGAATCAACCACGCCCAGCTCAGGTGCTGATTGCTATTTGGTTGATCAAAGCCCCTCAATTCTGTATACTCCAGGCTCTTGTCCTGCAGCCAGACAGTGCCCAGTTGTGGGAACTGCATCTCTCTCCAGCCCTGTGCCCTCAACTCAACACGAAGGAGTTCAAAATCTCTGAGGGTAAATAATTGGCGTTTGTGTAAGAGATATGGAGGAACCTCTTGTGAAAGACGCTCTTTATTACCAATTCTGGGAACCCTTTTTAGTAGCTGTGGCCCTAAGAAGGCAGAAGGCATTTGATCAGCAGAGATTCAGGAGCCTTTATTACCTCTGGGGTTCTCTCCACAGTGGGAAGCAGATTACACCCGTTCCAGATCCGGAACAGAGAGAAACTTTCATAAAAAGTGTTTAGAACCCAGCATATCTTCTTCAGTCTCCTTCTCAGTATGTCCCTCTACTGTTAACAGTGAAGGGCCAAGTTCTGTGCCTACATTCAGGACCTGTTGTGCCATCCGGAGCCCACGGCCACCCCAAGCTGTGTGATGATGCTCAGGTCCACAGAGACACCCTAGGAAGGTCTACTGATGCACCAAGTGCGTGTTGTCTTCTCTGACTTTCCAGCACTGGGATCAGCGCCTTGGCTTGGAGGATCCCATACAACCTAAATGTTTCATATGGGGCAGCGGGGTTTCTAACAGGGGAGAGTTGAGAAAGAAAATAAGGGCAACTGGAAGGAGCAGAAAGACAGTCAGTACCATCCCCTCCGGAGGCCGTGTCAGCTCCCTGAAGGAGGGTGGAGGAGGGAACAGAGTAAATGGTTTTGGACACATTCGTCTTTATTTGAATTCTCTAATTCTTTGACCTCCTGTGGCTAATAGGCCTTTTTAGCTTCAGGCCTCTGCATCATTAATTTGACAGAAGTCTTTAATCTACTTTCTGTTCTGGAGCCTTTGTGCCACTAAAAATGATCAAACTAGTCCAAATTATAAAGAGAAATCTCATCAAGTATCTAATTTTTAGTACTTCTAAATCTTTTCCGTATATAAGCATATGATATAATGGTTCCTTGGCATGTGCATTTTCCTGAGTCTAGTATTAAGGAATCTGTTTAAAAAAATCTGAGGACTGAAATGTCACTTGAGAAAACAGAATATAAGAATGCAGGTTTTAGGCTAGACTCAGCCCCACCAGGGCACACATCTTTGGTTCATCATGATGTATCCCAAGCACTTAGAACATCCTGGAGCTAGAAGGTGCTCAATAAATACTTATTTATTGAAGAAAAGCAGAAAAATCAACACTAGAAGTCATTTGAAGGTGATATTACTGATTCTTTTAACTGATATTTTATTATGAAATATTTAAATGTACAAAAAAACTTGAAGAATTTCACATACCCACCATTAGAATCTGCCATTCACATTTTATCACATTTGCTTCATCACATATTTCTCCATCTACCTATCTCTCCATCCATTTATTTATCTTATTTTTTAAATGCATTTCCAAGTATTTTCTCCTTAAATATTTCCTGAACTTCATATTCTTACCCATATTCCTAGCTATATGGTGGCTGCTGTTACTGGAAAATTCCCCTGAGCTTTCTGTGGGTAAAACTGATTTGCAAAAAGGAGTCAGAATGTAGTTTTAGAACTTCAGGATTTTTAATCTGAAAAGGAAAAGTCAGGTGTACTAATTATCTGTGTTGTGTAATCTATTATCCCAAAACTTTGGTGTGATACAACAATACACTCTTACTACTTCTCACAGTTTCTGTGGGTTAGGAATCTGGGAACCACATAGTAGGGCAGTCCTGATTTGGGCTCTCACGAAGATGCAGTCAATATGTCACCCAGAGCTGCCATCATCTGATGGCTTCACTAGGGCTGGCTCTTCTGCACAGCTGGCAGGTTGGGGGTGGGTGTTGGGGGGAGGCCTCAGTTCCATCGCATGTGGGCGTGTTGAGTGACCTCAGCATCTGGTGTCTGCCTCCTGCCAGAGCAAGGCATCAAAGAGAGAACCAGGCAAAAACCATCATTTTTTTGATGCAGACTCATTCTGTTCTTGAGAAGCAAGCCACTAAATCTGGGGAACTAGGCTCTATCTTTCCAAGGGAGGGGGGAGATTAGAGGATTTTTGGACATATTTTAAAACTATTATATGAAAGGCTCTGAGAGCAGCATAGCTCCTCTTGGGTTTGGAATCTCAGCTACTGACCTGGAACGACTTTCTCCACTCTTCTAGGCCTCAGTTTCCTTGTGTGGAAAATGGTATTAGTGAGAGCACCCACCTGAAGGGCTGTTGTGAGGTTAAATGACACAGCATGTGCAAACTGTTCTGGTCTGTTCATGCTGGAAGGTGAGATTTCTGTTACTAGAAATAGTAAAAGGACTATGACACATACTGCACAAGGTGTAGGAAGAGAATGTGTAGAATGGAGCTTGAGAGAGGATAGCAAAACCCAAATCTTGTGCAAATGTGCCTGCAAGTGGGGGATGGCATGGGAAGGAATGTTGAAGGATATTAGATTTTCTGCCCCACAGTGACTGTCAGTGAGGGAAAATTTGCACTTGGAATAGGAAATGACAAGGTGACTGGCAGCTGAGAGTGAGCTGTGGGATGTATCTCACATTCCAGGAACCCTGTGATTTAATTGGAGAGCAAAGTACAGGATGTTAAAAAAAGGAAAGCAAATTGTTTAACTTAGGTGCCTAGGAGGAAATGTTTCAACGTTGCAATTACTTTTTCTGGTAAACCTTGCAGTTACTTTCGATAATACTATGTATTTGCGTTTTTTATTCTACTTATAATTAAACACATTTTTGATGTAAAATAATGAGACCTTGATATGTCTGATCTCTTTTTCCCCTAGTTACCTCTGTACAGTACATATGGGATTTATGAGCTCCGTGTAACTGGACGTGCACAGGATGAGCTTTTATTCTCTAATAGCACACGCTTATCATTTGATGCCAAGAGAATGACGGTCTTCACTCAAACAGACAAAATCCTGTACAAGCCAAAGCAAGAAGTGAAGTTTCGTGTTGTTACACTCAGCGCAGATTTTAAACCTTCCAAAGCCCCTGTAAACATTCTAATTAAGGTAAGTGCTAGACAGAAATGAAGGGAGGAGTTCGAGCCATCTTACTGACGCTCTCTTGTAAGTTTCATACACGTTATCTTAGAATTCCCCATGGACAAGCTTCCCTCCCAACATGGGATACTCTCTCTAGGAGGGGAGCTGGGGTTCCAGTCCTGGCTTCTTCATGGATTTATTCATTTGTTAACCATTTATTGAGTTTCTGTCCCAGGTGCTGGGATAGGGCAGTGAACATAACAGATTAGGTTCCTATTCACATTGAGCTTATATTTCAGTGGGAAGACAGACAATAGAAAAACACATACACACATACACATATAGATAGGTAGATATGTATATATTGTGTGTGTGTGTGTGTGTGTG